GGCTCGGGCTGCTGGGAGGCAGAGCACCAGCTCCCGCTCCCGGCTAAGAACGCGCCGCTTCCTCGGGCCCCGGCCGCGGCTCCAGCGCAGGGCCCCGGCGCCGGCCCAGAGCGGCGCGCGCGGCACCGGTGGGTGCGTGGGGCGGGTGCGCTCGGCGCGGGGCTCGGCACCGCCGGGCCGGGCCGGGCCCGGCCGTCAGGGGTCTCTGCCCCGGGAGAAACCTAGAAGGAAAACTCGGGCGCTCTCTGCCCACGATGCCCACCAGCCCCGTCTCGCCTCTCAGCCCCGCTCCGGACTCCGCTAGAGGGGTTAAGGGAAAGAAAGGGAAAATAAGGGGGGCGGGGGGGAAGGGCGGGCGGCGAGGAAGGGGCGAGTCAGCTTGGAGGGAGCAGAGTCGGCCGGAGTCCCGGCCTCATCCTCCGCCCGCCTCGGGGGTTCTGCCCCCAGATGGAAAATGAGCGGAGGGGGGTAAAGGCAGGAGGAGCGTCGAGGCAAAAAAAAAAAAAAAAAAACCCACGCGGGCGCCTCCGTTCCATCCCTTCTGGCCCGCGGAAGCCCGGCACAAGTGGCGAGAGTGCGCCCGCGGCGACCCCGGGCAGGGTGGCGACGGCGGAGGACAGGGCGCGCCGCGCGGCTGGCGACCGACGGGGCCCGGGCCGCGGGCCGCACACCTGTTCCCCAGCGGCCGGGGTGCGCGGCCCGGCGGGCGCGCGGAGCCCTCCCTCCCGCCCCGCGGGCACCCCGAGGACCCCGCGCCGGCCGGTGTTCGCGGCAGAGCCGGAGTCCGGGAACCCGGCGACTGCCCGCCCGAGCGCTGGCGCGCGGCGAAGGGACCCGGTGACCCTCGGGGCGGGGCGCTCGGGGCACGAGGTCCTGGGACTTTGATCGAAGGCACCTCCCTGAGAGCCTCTGCCCCGCGGGCCCTGCCCGGAGCGGCCGGGGCCCCTGGCACTCGTCGGTTCTCCCCTGGCCTGCGCCCTCGTCCCCCAAAGTTGCAAGCAAATTGTTTCTTGCGGAGGTAGTTGGGACCTGAACTGTTCTTTGTGTACCGGCAGCCGAGAGCCGGAGGGAGCGGTCAGGCCAAGGGACGGTGGGCTCGGCTCCGCGTGGGTCCCAAGTTTGTGTTGGCCTCGCCTGCTCCTCGTCTCGCTCCGTTTTCCCTTAAAGAGTCGCTTTTTCCGGGGAAGACTGACCCGCTGGAGCCCGCACCCGCGCGGGGCCAGCCGCCCCGCCAGCCCCAGCCCTGCCCTCCCGGCCTGGCCGGGCTGTCCGGGGCGCGCGCTCGTTGGCCAAGCTGGGCCCGGGTCCCGACCCAGATCTGGGGCCGGTGCCCGGCCACGTCTGAACCGCAGGCGCTGGCCACAGCCCCGGGGCCGCGGTAGCCTTTTGCTTCCTGAGCCCTCGCATATGGCGGTGAATTTTCTGTTGGAGCGGTGTTTCCAAGCACCCCCTGGGCGTTTGGTGTGAGGGAATTCTCTTCAAGCGAAGAAGTCTGTGAACTTAAAAAAATTCTTTCCTGAGTTCTTCACCACCCCCCACTACCCAGGCCCCTTTCCCCATTGTTCTCTGCTTTTTAAGTTGCCTGTTAATTTTTTTAAAAGTTTATTTATGTAAAGGGAAAATATCGTTTAATTTGTTTTATTTTAATTCCTGGCTTTTGGAAACGGTTCAGAGACTACAAAAATGTCACCTGTTGTAATAAGCAGAGGGGTGTTGTGTGTGCGTTTTAATTGCCAACAGGGTCGTAGTTTGGTGGGCGTTCAGAGCTCTGGCTCCGGGCAAGAGGCTTTGCAGCTTTCTTTGTGGCAGTCATTTGCAAGTGGGTTTGGCTCCCAGCAGCAGCAGCAGCAGCAGCAGCGCCGCTTCCTTCTGTGCCGATCCCGGCGCGGGCCAGGAAGCCCGGACCTTGGGCAGGACTGGCCAGAGGCTGGGTGGGAAACTGCCCACTCTCGAAGACTTTCTCTTCGGCTTTCGGTTTTTCAATGCGAAAGTGGCCAGTTCGCGCCAGAGAGCGCGGAGCGCTGCGCATCAGCCCTGCCTCAGACGTTTTCACGTTCCAAACGCCAGCTTCTTCGTTTCATTTGTCTTGGTGCTGGCATGTTTAACCACGCAATTAGTAATCTCACTAATTATTCAGCTAGCCGGCGTTTTGTAATCACGCTAAACCAGGGTCGGCTGTGTGATTTAACAAACAAACTCCCACACACAGAGAACCGAACCAAGCCCATCACGTGAAGGATTTGGAAATTTTAAAACTCAATATTTGTTGGTCCCTCTGTCCAGCCTCACTGCCTGCCAGACAATTTATTTAGCTTCGTGAATTGATCCCTCCTCCTTGTTTAGTTAATTCAACAAAGACTTTTTGCAATCTGTTTGGAGTTTGTCTGATGCCGTGGAAAAGTAGCTGATGATTTATTTGGTTGCTTTTCGATTTCTGTCTTCAGCCCTTCTTTCTCCTCCTTTCAGTGGGGATGTCAGCTGTTATTACTTCCTATTGATCCCTTTGCAAAGTGAGAAGTGAACTAAAATTAATGTCAATTCCACTGCTCGGATCAATAGCTGGAGTTATTTTAATCTGGATTTGCACGAAGTGCTAAATTAAAAAAAATCAGCATAGAGGCAGAAAAGTAACAGTTACTTACTTTCCCTTTGCCCGGTTCTTTACAGTCATCCAAATGCTCCATCAAGCTGATTATCTTACAATCCATATTTTTTTAATTAAGAGGGTCAGTTAGTTTTCTTATTTTGGGTTCTGTGTTTAAACCCATGACATTTTGACATTGGGAGTGTATTAACTATAGATTTTCATAATGACTGTGGTCTGCTGAAGCCTCCTGTATACAAGTTGTTAATGTGAGGAGGGGTAAGAAAGAAAAGGGGGAAAAAAAAAACACGTCCCCTTCCCCCACAGAGACCAACGCCCACACAGTGGAGTAAAAGAGATGTGGCCTAGAAAAATATTGTTGATTTATTTTCATTATAATGAAGTTTCAAATGAATAACCAGGTTTGAGTGATTCACCGTGTTCTGCTGTAGTGTCCGGTGCTGTCGCCAGATTACTAATTTATGAAACTCATTTAACATAATGAGGTGATCTAGGAAGTAAAAATAGAAATGGAATCCTCTGAGTGAGGGCTATTGGTGAGGGGCGGGGGTGGTCATTCCTCTTCTCACCCCCAAGAGTATTATATCTTGCCCTTTTCTCCAGCCTGCCTCATGTGGCATTCTGGTTGATAAGCAAGGAGTGTGTTCTTTCTGCAGTGAAGAGCTGCCCAGAACCCTTGGAACAGCCCTGGACCCACTTTCAGAGCATCCATGTTGTGTGACCATTAATCTGACTTGAAAACAGCCAAGAACAGGATTCCCAGACTTGTCAAACTAACTGGCTGTCCTTGGCAGATCATTCCCTGCACTGCTGTAACTTGACAGGAAAGTTATTTAAAATTTGGAAGAGAGAAAAATCCGTTAATGTGAGATACATAATCTGGTAATTTAGCAATGATGTCTATAAGGAAAGATGCCAAATGAGGAAGCAGTCTGATGGTGTGCACTCATCTTCCCAATTAATAACAGTCATTGACACGTCTGCTACAGGATAGGAGAAGGAAATACTCTCTTTGCACTGCATTAAGCCAGGAGGATTCATCTACAATTTCACTGAGGTTTCTCATTTTGAGAGTATGCCTACCATACTCCATTAGCTAGGTGGGGCTTTTAAGGGAGGGGGCGTTTGAGACATGACTCAATTTAAAACTTATAATTTGTAGCAGATGATTTCGGGTTATACTTTGAGTTTCATTAAGTTCCTATTTAGTGTATATTTGTGAAGCCCGTAAGTCTTAGTATTTATCTTATGTTATCCTGACTTTTAATAGATAGCCCTTCCCTCCCACCTTACACCCCTCAAAATATATTTTGAAACAGAAGCAGTGGCCATGAAAATGTACAACCGAAAAGTAAAAGGGAAATTGAAAAAAGTCTCTCCAAGCTCCAATTTGTTCCAGGGGCCTTTTTCAGACATCAGCTCTGACTGGGCCAATAAGCAGAGCAAAATAAGTCAGAAATTTTGTTAACATTTCGCTTTAAATGTTAATGGCGAATCCAAAGCAGTTTACAAATCTACTTAAGAGTGAGTGCATTAGTAACTAAAATCACCGATCTGTTCTTTGCTGCCCCTGGAAGACAGACGTTTCTAGAGAACATATGCCAAAGGCACCCATTATGTTTTTAAATATTGTCAGAGACGCCAGGCATTTTATTGATGAAGGTTTTGTTCCATCTCAGAAAAGAGAAAGCCTGTGTGGAGAGGAATGTGTCAGGAAAAAATGCTGCTGTTGTTTCTTCACACAGTACTTCTTTCTGGAAGCAGTCTCAGATGATACATGAAGATGTGTGTTTAGGTATATTTGTGTGTAATTTACCCACATGTATGATTTGTGTAATTTACCCATATGTATGATTTGTACCAACTAACATACAGATGGTCATGGTCTAGGCATGCTTGAATTTTTCAGCATCAGGGCGTTGTTAGTGGGAGATAAAGAGAGGAGTCCGGGTGGGGGTGGGGGGGCGCAGAATCAAAGAGGTGGGCCTGGTCTCTGAACATCAGGCCTGCCACGAGTGGTGTATGCAGGTGGAAGCCCTTTAAAATATAGGCCCCACCTAATCTGCTGGTGAGTTGGCCTTCCAAAGCTCATTTGCTCAGGGAATATTGTATTTGGAGGTTTTATGATTTTTTTTCCTTTGCTGGGCTCAGGCGCATTTCACCCGGAACGTGTAGGGACCAAAGTCAGCTACGCGTACATCACAGTAAGTTGTCTATTGATTTTCCTGAATGAAAACGGTCTGATGCTGCTGCCCACTGGCTCCTAAAGCCTGTGGTGTCTCCTGCCCGAGCATCTGTAAGCCAGAAGGATGGTGTTTCGATCACTTGGGGTTTCCCTTTTCCTCCCCCCTGACTGTCCTCCCCCCTCTCTTTTTTCTCCTTGCTGTTTCCACAGGTCTTAGAAAGGGATGATTCCCCAGTAATATTCCCTGCCCTGATCCAAGGTGCCACTCGGCCTCCCTCCCGGGCGAGACTGTTTCTTGTGTGACGCCGGCCATAGACAGAGACTCCGATGGACTTACACCGGGCAGCGTTCAAGATGGAGAACTCATCCTACCTCCCCAATCCACTGGCATCCCCAGCCCTGATGGTCCTGGCGTCCACGGCTGAGGCCAGCCGTGATGCTTCCATCCCTTGTCAGCAGCCTCGACCCTTCGGTGTACCTGTCTCAGTAGACAAGGACGTGCATATCCCATTCACCAATGGCTCCTACACCTTTGCCTCTATGTACCATCGGCAAGGTGGGGTGCCAGGCACTTTTGCCAATCGTGAATTCCCCCCTTCTTTGCTACACCTCCACCCTCAGTTTGCCCCCCCAAATCTAGATTGCACCCCAATCAGTATGCTGAATCATAGTGGTGTGGGGGCTTTCCGTCCATTTGCTTCCACTGAGGACCGGGAGAGCTACCAGTCAGCCTTTACACCAGCCAAGAGACTTAAGAACTGCCATGACACAGAGTCTCCCCACTTGCGCTTCTCAGATGCAGATGGCAAGGAATATGACTTTGGGACACAGCTGCCATCTAGCTCCCCCGGTTCACTTAAGGTTGACGACACTGGGAAGAAGATTTTTGCTGTCTCTGGTCTCATTTCGGATCGGGAAGCATCATCTAGCCCAGAGGATCGGAATGACAGATGTAAGTACTCGGGTGCCAGCCCTCCCTTGCTCCCAGTAAGCCCTGCCTTCCAGTAGTGTTCAACAGGTCGGTGGTGTTTTTCATGCTGCTGGTGATGGGAAGGACCAACTACTTCCCATTCAATAGCTGTGCAGTGCTAACATTCACTTGTCTCCCATCAGTGTGCATTGATAGTTCTTGTGGGAAAGGGTTTTCTAAGGTAGCCAGAGGCAAGCTGGCCTCATACTGCCTTTCTCTCCAGGGCATGACTGACTTATTCTCTGGGGACTCTGGAGTGAAGAGGGGTGCCATAGATGTACTAGAGTGAGTATCATTTCATTAGATAGTGTTAGGCTCCTGGAGACTGGGGGGAGAGGGGGTATAGCCCTGAAGAAACTCGTCCGTCCCTCCTCTCTTTGCTATCCTCATTATGTTTCTCTGATCTCGGTATTATTTTTAGCTTTTTCATTGTATCACATGCAGCAGTCTCCACGTGATTTTATTTTCACAACTCTCAGTCCTCCTTGTCCACATCAGGCTATTTTTCAGAGAAGGACAAAGGTGTCGTCAATCACCATAAAGCATTTCAAACAGCTGTGTTGTCCTGTGATCGCAAGGCTAGAAAGCTGGCTTCTCTTGGGATTTAACAGGTTTGCTGGATGCTTATCCTGGGGCTCACTTTTAGGACTAGACACGGTTGACCTGTGTGACTGCTCCATATTTGATGTTCACAACTATTATTAATTTCTGTTTATGGAACTGCTTTCTCATGTTCTCCAAGTGCCTTGTTGGGCGTGGGCTACACTCACTAATTGTTGGAACTAAACCTTTATTTGGAACTTACAAACTAGGAGTGCTGAACCCTGCAACCTTCTCTTCTCATATCACCAAAAACTAATTGTGTTTTGTAGCTTCTTGGCTGTGGGTAGGCAGAGCAGTGTTCTTCAAGCCTGCTGAGAGTTTATGAACTGAGGGTGTTTTCCCACCCAATCCTTTGTTCTGAGATTTACTTCATTCTGTTTTCTTAAGAAAACTACATCTGAGGTTTGCTTTCCCCTCTTCTCTATTTTTTGTGCTCCTGTCCTCTCTATAATCACCAACACGAATATCATTTTTTTTTCTCTTCTCTTTATGATGCCGAGGAGAGTAATAGAGACATTGCAGCTCTCTCCCCTGTCGGCACTGCTTCCTCAGGCTGTCTCCTTGAATTAGGCACTGTGTTAACTTTCCTGCGCTAAAAGGCATCTGCCTAAACCCAGCGTACCTTTTCAATAAAAGTCATCATAAAATCAACCTGCCTTGTAAATCCATCGCTCTTTGGTTTTGAAATATGTTGCAAGTGTGTCTTTTATGTCAGCATCTGTAAGCCCGAGACCTCCCCACTTAAGGGAGAAGGCTGCTGTATGACAGCCCCACAGCCGCCTGCTCTCTCACTTCTGGTTTAGCTCCTTTTCCACTTTTTTCCTCTTTGTACAGCTGACGTGTGTGTTACGGTGCTGCTTTTCAGATATAACAGCTGAACAGGGATTGGCGTCATGTTGGTCTCATTTATTTTATTTTATTTTCATTTTCATTTTCATTTGTTTGTGCAAGTGATCGAGGCCTGCTACAATCTGACCTCTGGCTAAACTGCCCTGGGTTAGGGTGTGACAGATTCTGCCCCATCTTTCCCTCCAAATATCAGTTGAAAATGCACTCCTCTCAAAATGAATGTGCCACAAAGTAACACCTGGAAATCAAGATTTCTTTCTTCTCTCCTAACAAATCCAGCTTTTCTCCATTTTTTTTATCTTTTTAACCCAAACCGGTATCAGACACCCAAAGCAGGAGGAAGCTTGTTAGTCAAGTGAGAACTCATAGATGCGGATATCCATTCCCTCCCGAGTGTCAAAGCCATAACTCTTCTGTTTGCCTGGTTTGCATTGTGTGGTGGTGCCATCCCCCATGGAGATGGATCCCTCACACAGGAATACGCCTGGGTGGAGAAAAATTAAATGAGTCTGTCTCCCAAAGTGAAATGGAATTCTGACCTTGAAATTAATGAGATTCTGATCAGAAGGGTGGGGAAACTTCTTTATTTTAGATTGTAGTGTTATATAAATTGGAGCCCTTTCCCCTTTTATTATTTGTTTAAAAATTCTTCCTTTCAACAGTACCTTGTGTTCTCTTTTTTCTCTTAAGCAAACATCAAACCTATAGATGTATCTGTGTATCTAGGGTATTTGTACACCCACATTATCACCTAGAGTTTTATTTATGACTAATCTTTTACAAGAAACAAAGGTGCTGAGTGAAGAGGAGACTGTTACCCTGTGATAGCCCTGTATCTGTGGCCTTTTCTCCTTTCCTCTTCTTCACTAGGGTAGACTTCACGAGGCTGTACCGGGTGGGTTGCACTTGCACTTTTGCTTTCGAGTTTGGAAGGCAGAAGAGACATTTTTCTGTAGGGAAGGGCTTAAGAGGCGCTGTGACAAAGTCCGCAGCAGTTTCCTTGGCTCTTGTCATATGCCGACATGTGTCGGAATATTTATGGTCTGTTTTATGTAAATACATATTTAAGGGCCGTTAGAAGGCCTGATTATTCCCACTAGATGCCTTTCAGGTCCTCCCTACAGAACCGTTTTGAAATAAGTAATATTTCTCAGATAATCGAGTGACAGGATACAAGACTGCTTCCAAAGGGAGAGCTTTAAGGGCAGATGGGGCAGTGAGGGGGTGGAGGGGAGGAGAGAGAAGTGTTCACAAGACCTAAGAAATAGGATACAGTACCTTTTGGTCAGATTGCCAAAATTAACCATCTGTATTTTAAGGGTTTTATTCTTAAATTTTTGAGTTAATTTCTGATATGATTAGCTCATATTTCAGTATTCTTCATATCAATAAAATTTTTTTTCATAAAATGCAGAGAAAGTGTCTCAATTAAATACAATAGTAAAACTCCTGAATAAGCATTTAGCATTAGGGTTTTGTTAAGAAGGGGGTCTGTACGTGTGTGTGTGTGTGTGTGTGTGTCCCTCCCTTACTTAGACTAGAAGTTTTATGGCTGAGTTTTAGTTCAATGAAAAAATCAGTTTTACAATGGAAACACTGACAGTTTTTACTGTCGCAGCCACCTCCTGCTTACACACTGCATCCATATGCAGATATGTCCACATGTGAGAGCATTTGCAGACATGGTATACTGCACACATGTCCTTTCCTTAAGTCTGGGTCCCCATAGACAGGATTTCTTGCGTAATTAAATGTATATTTTTGTAGAAGGAATTGTGGCTTTTTGGGTAAAGTGTTGTCTCTCCTAGTAGATGACTCCTGTTTGCTTGCCTGTTCATCTATTTGGCATCACAGGTGATTCTTGAGGTAGGTGTTGGGTTTTGTTGGGAAAAAAGAAGCCTTTATTCTGCAGGACTGACTTGTATGCCCTGGAAAAGGGGAGAACCGTTTTTGTGAGAAGTGGTTCCATGGAGGCTGCATAATTCCCCAGGAAGGGGACTGAGGTAACTTCTGTTTATTGTCATTCCCTGAACCAGTCTCCAAGGCTCCTTGTCCAGGGAAATGATGCTAAAATTTATGGACCAATTACAAATAATCCACGTGTGTCTTACATATGAAATGTCTACAGATATGTTTCCCAGGGCTTTTAAAATAAACATTTCCTCATTAAGTAACTTTACAACAAAAGGGAAGATAAGTATTATCTGCTGCCTTGTGCTAGAACCTGTACATTTATTACCCCTTAGCACCATGGCTCTTATCACGTGCATTCCTTGATTCTCTTGAGGCCACCCCCTATACCCAGATTCCTGCCTGGGTGACAGTCTTTGGCCAGCCTGCCAGTCTGATCTGCCAGGCTGAGTGGTCAGCCCGAATTGGAGTTGGCCAGTCTGCATGCCTGGCTGAGGGCTGAGAGGGACCAGAATTGCCCTTGTGAAGTGATGATTGGCCCTGCCTTCTGGCTCACCTCAGGGTTGGGCACTGGGCACTGAGCAAAGTGGCCCTGGTCCCTTGCCCTTTCTCTATGGCCTGGCAGATTCACAGGTGGGCAAGAAACTGCCTGGCTCACAGCAGCTCCTGGATGTCCTACTTTGCTCTCATTTTTGATGCATTTGAAAAGTCATTCTCAGATCCCCAAAGCCCTGAGTAGGAGATGGTATTTTGTGTCCCAGAGACACACTCTGGGATGTGTCTTTATAAAGGCAAGTGTCACTGAAGAAGCAAGTTCCTGGGAATCAAATCAACAGAGCCCACACAGGCCCAGGACAGCCAGGAAAGAGGAGGCTGGTTACACCTTGGGAGTGGTCTTGGGGGGAATAGACCTCCCAAGAGCTCTGGACTGGGGTGTCATTAAGAGAATTGCTCTTGCTGGGAGGATGTTTGGGGGGCAGTTCTCAGGTCACCAGGCTCAACTCCTGCATTGACTACCCTGAAAGAGCACATCACCAGAGGAGATGGTTCGGATGGTTTTCCCTGGACTGACTGCCTAGGCCTGTTGTTTGTGAGCTGCCCTGGGGCTCCCCTGGTGTCCCCGTTCTCCTTCCCTGGCTGGGGGCTGCCGGGAAGAACTCCTGTGATGTGTGTGGTTGTTTCTGGTTCTTCACTCCCAACACAGTCATGGAGACTCCTTTTCATGCTGCTGGGTTTAATTGTCTTGTTGGGATAAAGAAATGTTTGCACAGCTAAAGTGGGGCCGGGCTGGACGGGAGCAGTCCCTGATGGCTGCAGAGCCATCTGGCCTGGCTTGGCTTGGCTCGGCGCGCCGCTCGCCCGCCCGCCGGGCGGCTGGGCTCGCTCCCGCTCTCGCTCTCCCGTCCCCGCTCCACGACGCGCCGCTCTGGTCGGCGGCTGCCTCCTCGCACGGCCGGAATGCCTAATCACCATGGTGAGAAAACGGACACCGCAGCCGTCCTCCCTCCGCGCCTCGCGCCCTCCCTCCCATCAATTGTCATGCAGAAGTGATCCGGGCTGCCGTTTCCTCGCGGCCGCCAGCCAGCCCCTCGCGCCCCGGCAGAAGGGTGGCTGGTAAT